AGAGTGAGCTGCGTCTCCTTGGCCTTGGCAACAGCATTCGACTTGAGGATTCGCGAAATCCTCTCTCCCTCCTTGACCGCATAATCAGCTCCCTTCTTGAGCACAGACTTGAACACCTTCAAGTAGATCTCAGCGTGAGCAGCGGCTGCGCCTGTGAGTTTGCTGGCACCCTCCTCCGCCTTCTTGAGCAGCCCCTCCTTTGCAGATTCGTCGTCCACCGACATGAACTCCTTGGCAATCTCGTCGAGCTCGGGTACCAGTCCCGCATCGGCGGTGAGTCCACCATGAACATTCCTCTTCGTTCCTGCCTTCTCATTCACAAACTTGACGAGATCCTCGAGCGTTCTCCCCCCTTCATAGTCTTCCCCATGCTTCGACTCCGCACCAAACCATTTCAGGGTAGGGAACCCGCTGACCCCGTACTTGCTGCCGAGATCCTTGTGTGCATCGGCATCCACCTTGGCGATAACCACACCATCCTCAGCAGTGAAGGCATTTGCGACTCTCTCGTAGATGGGAACCAGACTCTTGCAGTGGCCGCACCATGGGGCATAGAACTCGACGAGCACATGCTTGCTAGCATCGAGCGCAATCGCGTCGAAGTTGGAGGGTGTCAATACCACCACATTGGAGGGGGGCTTCGACGTCCTTGCATTGGTGCCTGCCTCCCTGTTCACAAACTCGATCAGGTCATCCGGGGTCCTGCCGCCTTGGTAGTCCTGAGGAGTGAGAGAGCCCTTGGGGAAAAACTTCAACGTCGGGTACCCGCTAATCGAAAACCTAGAGCACAGATCTTTGTGAGCATCGCAGTCCACCTTTGCGATAGCCACAGAGCTCACCTTCTTGAATGAGGTACCCAGCATGCCCCAGTCAGGGGCCAACCTCTTGCAGTGCCCGCACCAGGGGGCGTAGAACTTCACAAACACGTGTTGATCCTTACCCACGACTTCATCGAACGTTTCTGGAGTCAACACAAGCACATCAGAGCCCTCGTCGTCACCGGAGCAGCGCACAAAAGAAGGGGCGCCTAGAAGGCAGACGATGGCCGCGCCTATCACACAGACCGCCGCCACAGAGAACCTCCTAGCCCTCACCATCTCGAACGACCACCTCTTCGTCCTTCTCTCTTTTCCCCCCTCCACCTGCTGAGGACGAAGCAGAAAGGCCTGCCTTCATACCCCATTAAAAAGCGAAAAGAAGAACAAGACAAGCAGCAGAATGTCAACTCTACTGCAAAATTTCCTAACCCCCGCATTAACTTCAACATACTTTTAAGGTTTTACCCTTCTTGCTCCTTTCCCTCCCCACCCCCCCCAGCCCCCCGAAGAATTGTCCGATAACTCAGAAACGATATTAGATCCAGACCATAGCCATGGAATCCATTGCACAAAGTCCACTTGGGCCTGCCAGCCAGCCATCAACTACCGTCTTCCCCCAAATAGAACGCACCCTCATAATGACGGTACAGGGCTGGAAATATAGCTCGTATACATTCATTATGATGGTCCGTTGTGTTCGGGGGAAGACGGCAGGGTTGTACAACGATTTTTCTTTTTTTTTTTTGATCCCACAAATTTCCCCGGAAATAGCTGCAGAGGGCCTTCTTTTACCATAGGCAAAATCCAGCTAAATGGCCCTTGTGTAATTGGGAATGTTAAGAAAAAAACGAAAAAAAAAAAGCCTCAATTTTAGGAACGGAGAAACAAAAGCAGCACCTATAGACCTGGACGTTCCGGCACCACCATCATTCACGCACTTCCAGTTTTTAATTCTGACAGAGGTGTAAACTGGTGGAGCACATTCGACTCATTTCTGGTCCCATTGTTGTGGGATACAAATGGGACCATTCGCCTCATTTCTGATCCCAATGTTGTGGGATGCAAATGGGACCATTCGCCTCGTTTCTGGTCCCAATGTTGTGGATACAAATGGGACCATTCGCCTCATTTCTGGTCCCATTGTTGTGGGATACAAATGGGACCAAAAGTAGGACCAAACTGGTCAGCACCTTGTTGGTTGGTTATAATTATTCCCATTTTCGTTCCCATTTTCGTTCCCATTTTATGCTTTTTTAGGAGTTTTAACCATTTCCCGATCCTTGCGCTGAATCCACTGAATCCGATCTTCTCCCCAAAAAGGACGTGGCCACCAAGGGGGCCAGGCGCATTTGGTCAAGCCTCATATTGGTTGTCATCCCACCCCAATCCTCAGAAATCGACAACAACAGCCCTTAAAGTCATCTGCAATGGCTTCCACGCGGCCAACTGTGACTCGCATCAACCCCAGAAGGCCAGCCCATAGACACTTCTGAATTGAGAAAAAGAAGCACATAGGAAGACGATCAAAGAAAAAGGACAAGGGCACAAAACATGGTTACCTTCTGAGTAGCATGGCACATGGCGTCGTCACCTATGATACTATGTGAGGCAATGATATGCAGGTCATGCAGCTTTGCATCAGGTCTGCACCTGCCTGTTCTATGCAAGGTGATGCTATATGGAATCTGCATCATGCATTGCTGAGAAGCTGCTTGTGCTATGCAAGGCAATGATGCTATGCAGGTCATGCTATGTGGGTCATGCTTTGCCGAAAAGCTGCCTGTGCCATGCAAGGCAATGATGCTGGACAAGTCATGCTACGCAGGTCATGCTGTGTGGGTCATCCTATGCAGGTCATGCTATGTGGTCCATGCTTGGCCGAGAAGCTGCCTGTGCTATGCAAGGCAATGATGCTATGCAGATCATGCTATGTGGCTCATGCTTTGCCGAGAAGCTGCCTGTGCTATGCAACGCAATGATGTTGTGCAGGTCATGCTGTGGTGGGCAATGCTATGCAGGTCATGATATGCGGGTCATGCTTTGCTGAGAAGCCACCCATGCTATGCACGGCAATGATGCAATGCAGGTCATGCTGCGTGGGTCATGCTGCGTGGTCATGCTATGCAGGTCAAGCTATGTGGTCCATGCTTGGCTGCGAAGCTGCCTGTGCTATGCAAGGCAATGATGCTCTGCAGGTCATGCTATAAAGGGTCCTGCTTTGCCGAGAACCTGCCTGTGCTATGAAAGGCAATGATGCTGTGCAGGTTATGCTGTGTGGGCAATGCTATGCGGGTCATGCCTTGCTGAGAAGCCACCCATGCTACCCACGGCAATGATGCTACGCAGATCATGCTATGTAGGTCAAGGTGTGCAGGTCATGCTGCGTGGGTCATGCTGCGTGGTCATGCTATGCAGGTCAAGCACGCTATGCAGGTCATGCTGTGTGGGTCATGCTTTGCTGAGAAGCTGCTCGTGCTATGCAAGGCAATGCTGCTATGCGGGTCATACTTTGCTGAGAAGCCACCCATGCTATGCACGGCAATGATGCTATGCAGATCATGCTATTTAGGTCATGCTGTGTGGGTCATGCTTTGCTGATAAGCTGCCCGTGCTATGCAAGGCAATGATGCTATGCAGGTCATGCTTTGCTGAGAAGCTGCCTGCGATACAGAAGACGATGATGCTGGGCACTTCATACCAGTGGAACATCAAGCTTGTGCGGCTTGAGTAGTTGTGGAGGTCCGTTGCCGGCTTGAAGCATTGACGACGCGACAATAAAATCATCGACTCATATTGCCGATTTGCAGAACAGAAGACTAGACGAGGTTGTTGTAGTTCTGACTTCAATTGAATCGAGGACGAGGCCGTTCTCCCAGGTTTGTAGAATCCAACAGAGAAGACAAGGTCAGCAGAATAATAGTGCAGAGTTATTGTTCTTTTTGTGTCTTCCTCACCTTTCCCCTGTGAGGAACGGGGAAGAAATTCACAAATTAAATTGTCCTTCGGGACGTCCGTTAAAAGGATTGGAACGATCCAGAGAAAGAAGGGCAAATTAGCAAATGGCCCCTGCGCAAGGATGACACGCATAAATCGAGAAATGGTCCAAATTATATTTAAAAAAAAAATAAATAAATAAAAAAATCACAAATTGCCATGCACTTAGCGTCAAGGACAGAACAATATGTGCTAGACCTCTCGCAAAGGACACAGCCATATATTTCGCGCATGATGGATTGCCGCACACACTTGCCGTCATTCGGACCGGCATGTATGCGGACAAATTTTGCACCAGTCCCGTAAACAACTTGAATTTGCAAACTAAATTAGCCTGATTAGGCCAACTCTCGTAGTAGATGGGTGTGAGTCAGCTGATCTTCACTACCAAGGTGAATGTGCAAACTACGTATAGCCTGATTAGGCCAACTCTCGTAGGAAAAAAAAAAAAAAAGGCCAGCTCTCGTAGTAGATGGGTGTGAGTCAGCATCTTCACCGCAGGTTTTAGAGGGGAGGGGATTTGCGACACACATTGACGACAAGAGAGATTTAAAAGGGAATAGGTGGTGTGATTCTGGACATTGTTTCTTTCCGTCTATTCTCAACATTGTTTGTCTAATGTGAACGGAGGAAATCACAGAAATCTTTTTGCTGTCAAAAAAGAAAAAGAAAAAGAGGTGGAAAATAGCCAGACAGAGATGCAGACAAAAGATGGACGAGTGGATGTGACAAGAACCCCAACGAGAGCATGGAAAGAGGGTAAGTAGTGAAACATAACCAACGAGGAGGACAAATACGAAACATGTCGCTGTGACAAGCCGTCTATCCGTTTATCCCCGGAAATGCCCCCTAACCTTGTCCATCACATCGGATGAAACCCACCATGGACAGTCCCCGGCAGAGAGCCCGGTACAGATCGAGAGAGAAATATATATAGAGAGAGAGAGCAAACCCAGATCATGCCGCATCGATACTCGATAGACAGCACATGTGAGAGAAAAAGACGCAGTGATAACACCTACCATAGCTAAGCTGAGGGCTGAGGCGACATCTATGGGGAGGACGATTACACCCATGTGCTGTTGAAATACAGACCCAAAAAAAATTAAAAAATTAAAAAAATTAAAAAAAAAAATAATAATAATTTTAAAAAAAATGAAATACAGACCTGAGTTGCTGGACCTTGATGAATGGAATAAAGCATTCTAAATTACCCAGGGCCGTCCTGACCGATGAAGATATCCCAAGGCCGTTTTCCTTTTGTTTAAAACATAATATTATAATATAATAATAATAATAATAATAATAATTGGTCGTCGCTTGAGGCTTCGTTCTTTGGTCCTCCCTCCACTACTCACTACATGCACAAAAGACCAAAAATATGGCGGTGTATCTTCCCATGTTCCAGCGGAAGATTCATTCTCGTTTTGCACATTCCGTGAGTAGTGGAGCGACGCCCTTTCCACCTTTCCCCCATCGAGGCAGCAACGCCCTTTGCAATGATAATGATGAATTAAACGCAAAAAAAAAAAAAAAGAGAAAGACAACGAGATGTCGTCATCTTCTGCCGGCCATCCCCATCGAGGCAAGAAGAGAGAAAGACGACGAGATGTCATCTTCTGCCGGCCATCCCCATCGAGGCAAGAAAAGAGAAAGACGACGAGATGTCATCTTCTGCCGGCCATCGCTCTTATCGTTCTAATCTACGGTTTAGCAGCCGGTGAATAACAAAACAAAAACAAAAAAGAGGGAAAAAAAAAAACCCGGCTCGACAAAGAGTGGTAAACAATCCGCCAGTGAGTCAAAATCGAAATGATACAGAGATCGCCCTTGGCCTGGGCCAGCTTGAGATAGGGAAAAAAAAAGGAAAAAAAAAAAAAGACAAAGTGGTGAAGGTGAGGATTCATTTGCCTCTGTGTGTGTGCAAAGATGTCCCGAGCAAAGAGGAGGAAATTACAAAGGGCAAAAAATTAAAAAAATGAAGCAATGACGATGGCGGTCCCGATGATGACGTGGGGACGGCGATCCCTATCCGGGTTTGCACATCTGACCGCCACGTGTCTTCGCTGTCGAGCAGTTTTTTTTCCCGCGGCCTCAATGACGAAGGGTGGGGGGAGATAATCGACGGTGGCAGCCATTGCCAGATCACCAAATCAACCGGGTGCAATCAATAAGACAAGGTAAGACGAGCAATAAACAATAAAAACACAAAAAAAAAAGAAAAGAAAGGAAAAAGAAACAGAGAAGCAAAGAGGTTGCGAGACGGACAGAAAAGAAAAGAAAAAGAAAAAGAAACAGAAAAGAAAAAAATGGATGTCCACTCATGAACTGTTGAAATGCAGACCTATACCTTTCTCGGCCTTTTGGCTAAAAATAGATCAAGCGCCATGCGCCATGTATCTATTATGATCAGTTTAATAATATCTGATCCGTGGTCCATCGGGCCACACGATATTGTAGTAAATTAATTTTTCGGGGCAGTGAAAGGGTCATAAGGGTAGGCTTGCCTGCCCGACCCCTTCGCGTTGCCTTCGCGTTGCCTTATCGTTGCACTGCAGCAAAGCGCGGCGCAGCCCATCAACCCCCAACAGGGGGATTAAAAAAAAAAGAAAAAGAAAAAAAGAAATACAGACCTGAGTTCAAATCCTGCTGGACCTTGATGAGTGGAATAACTCTTTCTGAATTACCTAGGGCCGGTCCGGTCGATGAAGATACCCCAAAGGCCGTTGTCCTTTTTTTTCCTTTAAAAAAAGCAAAAACTGTGTGGAGAGAAGGAGGAGGAGGAAGGGGGGGGGGGGGGGGGGGGGGGTTCAAAGAAGCCGAAGAGCTGCTATGGAAATTGTGGGGGGTTCTCAGATACGATTGGCGGGATCATAGGCGTTGCCTCTGCACGCGAACTGAGGAGATCATCATCACATGCTGACGTCATCCATCAGGTAGCTATGGCCCGTCGACAGTGTTCGGAGAGTTGATGGCATGATCCATGGCCGCCTCGCCTCCTTCCGGCTCCCTCGCTCTCTCTGCCGATGCGGCGATTGTGAGTCTTGCTACCATCTCCTCTCTCTTGACACGAACGTCGGCAGGACACTCGTACTAAGGCGTTGGTTCATCATCGATTCTCGTGCAAGCTGCTGAGCGACTCCCGGCTAGATGATCATGCCATCAACTCCCCGCTGCCGATGCGTCTGGTTCAACGGCTGTTACCTCTGGATGATCATGCCATGAACTCCCCGCTGCCGATGAGGCGATTGTGAGTCTCGCTACCATCTCCTCTCTCTTGACACGAAGGTCGGCAGGAGACTCATAGTAAGGCGTTGGTTCATCATCGATTCTCGTGCAAGCTGCTGCTGAGCGACTCTGATCAACGGCTGTTGCCTCATCAAGCGTAGTTCAACGTCTTTTACACCACCTCTGGTTCGTGAATCCCCCATAGCTAAATACACCTCTGAACTTGGAAGTCTGCAGTCAGGCCTCCATTCCGCAGTGGTGCTACCTTCTTCCCCCGAATACAACGTACGGTCATTATGGCTGTATCTAGACAGAAAGACGCCTCAAATACAGCTATAATGACCGTACGTTGTATTCGGGGGAAGAAGGTAGTTGAGGGTTGCACTCATACCTTCTACGCGTGGCGCCTTGTCAAGGAGCGTGACCCTTCCTGAGTTCAAGACCATCATCACCAGGAGCATTGACCGCTCGATCGGACGGTCAGGGGCGCTCCTCGCTGTGCAAACGGCGTCAGTGACAACCGGTTCGGGGATCGAGGACCTATGGCGCGCATTGAAGATCGTTAGATGAGGGCTAGATAAGATGGATCGGCGGTTGCTGGAGGCGTACAGCGAAATGCCACATCAGCAGACGAACGGGATGCCTACGTGGCGGCAGCGGTGGCAGCATTGCAGGCGGAACGCCGGCGGGACCACGATAGCTCCTCAGCCTTGGGAGAGATCAATACGAGGGGGGAAGTAATGGGGGGAGGGTGGGCTGGGCGGGGCCGGACCCTGAAAGGAGCAGATCGCTGATGATGCTGCCAGAAATAGGAAGCAGCAGGAGTGTTTGCGCAAGACGAAGAAGTAGAGAAGGCGAGAGAAGAGGAGGTGGAGGTGGGAGTAGTAGTAGGAGGAGGTGGAAGAGGAGGAAGCAGCAGTTGAAGAAGAGGAAGGGGGCGGCGAAGAAGACGGAGAGGAGCGCGAGCAGAAGAACGAAGAGCATTTCGTAAACAAAATCATGCAGTTCATGGCGCGGAGGGGARGGGGGGGGGGGGGGRGGGACGACGAAATTTAATATTTTTTTCCTAAGAAATGGTGAAGGCCTTGAGATATGGTCACCAAACTGACCGGCCTTACGTAATTCGGGATTGCAGTATTTTATTACTCCTCCGTTTCCAGTGGAGTGCCAACTCAGGTCTGTATTTCAACAGTTCAGTCCAGGGGGGGGGTACCAACTGAGAGAAGGCCAGGTGGTATTTTAACAAATTTGAATAAACGCGAGAAACTTATTCACGAACGTACAACCGAAGGCGCTTCAGACGTGTTATAAACCAACCAATCAAAAAAAAAAAAAAAAAAAAAAAAAACTAACCAATCAATCAATAAATAAATAGTTCACAAATCAATCCATAAATAAAAAGTAGTAGTAGTATAGTACAAGTGGTAGTGGAAAAAAGTAGTACAAGCGGTAGTGTAAGTAAGTACAAGTGGTAGTGGAAGTAGCACAAGCGGTAGTGGAAGTAGTACAAGTGGTAGTTGAAGTAGCACAAGTGGTACACAACTCACCCTCATCAAGAAGGTATACAAGCTATCGTTCCAGTCCTGTACAGTCATGATTAGGGTGCGTTGCGTTCGGGGGAAGAGGGTAGTACTGCCGTCTTCCCCCGAACACAACGCACCCTCATTTTGGCTGTATCTGCCCGGAAATATAACTCGTATACATTCATTTTTAGGGTGCGTTATGTTCGGGGAGAGACAGGTAGCACTAGGAATTAGTGGGAGTAACAGAGCAACAGTAGTAGTCCAGGCGGTAGCGATGGAGAGGAGGGAGAAGGAGCAAAGCAGCCAGAGAGAGATGGAAGGGTGGGCCTGGTGATGGGTACCATTTCCAGAAGGAAGGGAAGCAAGCGAACTCTTACCGTCGTCGCCCAAAGATTATTCGGCGGCCCTCGCTCGCGCGCGCGCGCACGCACGCACGCACTCTCCGAATGACGAACACCTAATTACGTAACGAGTCCTTCGCCTCTTTAGACTGTAGGTTACGGCGGGCCCCGAAGAACGATAAGAGCAGTTGAGGACTCGGCCAAGCTATACCCCGCCCGATCAGTCGGCGAATGTGAAAAGAAGAAAAGAACGGTTTGGTGTATATTTCGACGTTTCTTTCTCATTTTAGACAGTTCGTGTTTGGTGAGCGGCGAGGTCGAATCCTTGGTACATTTCCCGCCTTCCGCGCCGGCCGGGCCTCGAAGTAAAAAAGACAAAATCCATGGCGGGTGTATCAGTCCACGTTCTAGTGGAGTATACATCCCGGATTTCGCAGCTACGGTAAGTGGTGCGGCGATCTCCCCACAGACCATGGCGGGTGTATCAGTCCACGTTCTAGTGGAGTATACATTCCGGATTTCGCAGATACGGTAAGTGGTGCGGCGATCTCCCCACAGACCGAGCCGATTGCGGACCGCGCCGAGCGCCAACAAGTACACTACCCGCCTCTTCCCGAATACGACGCGCCCTGCTCATGAATGTATGTATAAAGGCTGGCTTTCCAGTCGAATACATTCAAAATGAGGGGACGTTGTTCGGGAAGACGGGGTAGCAGGACGATTACCGGAGGCGTTCTGTTCCCTGAGCTGACTGGCTGGTGGTCAGCCCATCGTTTTTGTTTGTTTGTCTTTTTTTTGCGAAAATAGCCCTTGTGTAAACCCTCCAATTGGAACTCCAAAAAAAAAAAAAAAAAAGGAACGATACAGTGAAGATTATCATCATTAACCTGACCGGCCCCAGGTAATTCACAAATAGTTGGTTTTACAACTTTTACTCATCGAGTTCCATCATCTGGATTCGAACACGGGTCCGTATTTTCAACAGTTCCTGGGTGTGGTCCCCACTGAGCTAGGCACTTGGGTTAATTGTTTTTTTTTTTTTTTTTCTGTTGGGTTATTGTTGTACGTAACTTGGAGACCTGAGCGCCTGACCTGTCTGTCAACAGTCTGGTGTGTGTTGTCGTGTGTTGTGTGTGCGCAAACATCAGGCCACAAGCCCGCTACATTCTACATTCCTTTCTCTTTCTCCCCTCTTGCTCGGCAGGACGCTCGTCTCCGCTGCGGACAGACGCGAGCACCAATGAGCAGAGCGAGAGGCTTTTTTGGGCACTCATCTTCCAGTAGGCCTGAAGAAAACACGATTCACGTCGGCATCCAGAACACTAGCACCAATGGGAAACGTCCGAATCTCCGAAACTAACTCGAAAAGCCGTGTCCTAAAACGAGTCTTTAACCCAAGAGCCTTAGCTCAGTGGGTACACCATTGAATTGTTGAAATACAGACCCAAGTTCGAACCCGGATGATGGAACCTGATGAAACCAAATATTTGAATTGCCTGGGGCCAAATATTTCTGAATTGCCTGGGCCCGGTCAGCTCAATGATGACATCTCAAGACCGAGCCTTTACCAATGGGCCTACTACCTCTAAAATACAGACTCGAATCCTTTTATTTATTTATTTATTATTTTTTTTATAGCCACTATCTTCTTCCCCCAATACAAAGTACGGTCATTATAGCTCTATTTGAGCCACCTTTCTGTCTAGATACAGCTATTATGACCGTACATTGTATTAGGGGGAAGAAGGTAGTAGATACAGCTATTATGACCATACGTTGTATTCGGGGGAAGAAGGTAGTACCGCCGCCGGTGTTGGGAAATTACGAGGTTTTGCCAGTTTCCGAAGAAATAGGGGGTGGGACACAGGGTCAGTAATGTCCCATAAATCTGATTTTTTTAATTTATTTTTTCTAATCTGAATTTTATAGTGCCGCGAGTGAAAGGAAAAAGGGGGGGGGGGAAATGCTTTCTCTACTGCAATGATGTGGGGCAGGGGCGAAGTCCCACTAGCAAAGAGGATTGGAGCACCTGAATCTGGACGTGTTTTCAGCACAAATGCAGAAAAGCAGTTCAATCTCCATTTTGTCCACCTTTCCACAAACGCATCCCGATTCAGGCGTTCAATCCAATACTCTTTGCTAGTGGGACCTTGCCCCAAGAGGCGGTGCTCACAGTCTTCCTCCACAGAATGCACCTTACAGGTAAGCCGGTCACATTCTGAATGTTGCTGTTTTCTTTTTTTTTCCTGGTCGTGTATTTCTTACGAGTCCCCTGTCCATGAATTGCTCAAGCTGTCCGTGATCTGCTCAAGCTGTGTTTTGTCAGAGGATTGTAAGGCAATTGCTCAAGCTGTCTGTGATCTGCTCAAGCTGTGTTTTGTCAGAGGATTGTAAGGCTCATCACACTGACACTGTGACGAACCGATTTCTGTTCCGCGCGACTTTCTGCGCGATCACAATGAGGGGTCCTAAGTTGGGAAGGTTGGGCCAATTACGGGAAATCGGGATTGAGGGAGAATTGCATCAGTGTCCTCGCCTTTTTCGTCTTTTCGTCTTTTTTCTTTCGTCATGGCTGGATTCAGGGCCGGGCAAGTCCCGGTATGATTGAGTGAGTGGCTATCGCGCCGACCAGGCACGATTAATAAGGGTTGACGCCGCTTCTTTTCTGTGCTGTTGTCGGATTTTAGGCGTGGAGACCCGCGGGAATTTTTGCTTCGTTCTTTTTTAATTTCCTTTTTGAATCTTGTCGAGCCCCGATGACTCTCGAAATTTCGGACTTTCTTTTCGGAATTTGTGTTTCTTTTTGAATTAACTAGGAATTTAGGAATTTTGGGGAATTTAGGATTTTCTTTTGCCGCGCGGCACTTTTTGCTTACGCGCTTCTTTGTGCGGCTGCAACGGAACTCTGATTAGTCGGCGCCCTTAATCGTGTGTGTAACCATAATTTTGGGCGGGCACCATTGTAATTGTATCTTTCTTCTTGAACTTTGTCTTTCCCGCTCTCCCTTTTTCTCCTTTCACTGTGCCTAGTTAGCCCGCGGCCTGCATGCTCGGATCAATGCGTGGAGAATGGCTACGTCCCCCACGCCGCGACCTGGCCATGCAAAACGCAGACGCTCCCTCTCCTAATCTCCTTTCTAAGTCCATGCAATTCCGTGTTCTTCGCGCACGCATGCACGCTATAAATTCCGACTGCGCGATTAGATAGCTCTCTTAACCAATTGTTGGAAGCTCGGGGAGCGCGATCAGTGAGGGTCAGCTCGCGAGCGAAGTAAGAGGTGAGTTGAAGTGGGAGTCGGGCGACCCGACGAGCTGGTGACGAACGCGCGGGGTTGACGTGGGCCACAACGGACTGTGGGCGCGGGCGAACATGACGGGTGCGGGAGGACTAAGCGGGGTGACGACTTCGTGGGTTGGTGCGCGACGACGGACTGTCCGCATCAGAGAGAGAGAGAAGAAGAGGGAGCTGAGGTTGATGGACGTGGATTTGCAGTTTTCTTTGTTTTTTCTCCCTCCTTGCGTTTGTATATAAATTTTGACCTCGGCTCAGGGCGATTCGCCCGTTTTTTTTTTGTTTTCAGAATCTTGGTTTGGTTTTCACCCACATTCGTTTTTGCGACTGGTCTCGATCTCGTTATTGTGTGTTATGTCGAATGAATGGATGAATGGATGTTATGTCTGTTTGCCTTTCTTTTTGCCTGATCCTTGCCTTTGATTGTCGTTTTGATACACTCATGAGCATATTAGTAGGATTTTTTGCGTAGTCGTCAAGACTGCGTCCATCGCTATTTATCCCCTTTTGAGCTATTGTTGTTGCTGCACCTTGTATGCTCAGGAACGATCGCGTGCGGATCACGGAGTGAATTAGATGATTGGGTAAGTGCTGTCCAGAAACAAGCGAATACCTCGTGGGGATGCGTGTAAGCGCGATCTGATTTGCGCAACCTACGAGTATCCACGCGCGCCGATTCGCAACCACCGACGAACTTAACACCTGATTGCTCTGGGATTCTCTTCTGATCGTAGGAATGGATGTTGCAGTGTGAGTAATGGATGAGGTGATTGCAGATTCTCTTTTCGTTTTTGCTCATGCAAGGCAAGGTAGCTGATGTATGTGTCACTCGCCCACGCATGGAATGACTAACGATTGCGGGGATATTGAATGATTGGATGTATTCAGAGGCCATGTTGCATCCGCAACGAAGCAACCATCCCATGTGAGCACGTGTACGCGCGACCTCATCCGCGCGACATACACGTACTCACACACGATGATTCGCAATCATTGAATGTTGAAACAAGCGCAAAATTTTTGAACACCGAGCCCGGAAATTCCCCAACCGGGTACACACGTACCAAGGAATTCTGCGGCCTCACAATGACAAGATTACGTACTCGAGGGACTAAGATTCATCGTGGGATTCGGAGTATTTCGACCCCTGGGTGAGAGAGTGTCTCAGACAGAGACGTTGGGGATTCCCCTGCCTAACCGAGAACCAATTGTACCCTAGGGAGTTTTATTGTGCTACGACCAGCGATCCGAGGTGCCCCGATTATCCCACTTCAGACAACACCCACTATTTCATATCCCCTGACTTCGTTGTTATCGCTACCAACTTCCTTCCCTTCTGTCTCCTCCGAGTCCTCCCGTATGGTGGTTTCGTGGAATTCCATCGCTCAGTACTGGCCCCGCACGCCTTGCGGAAATTGTCGGCGACATGGCAACCGACGAGCCCCTGGAACCAGAGGGTCTAAGCCAAACGCGCGACGGCAGATGCCACGTGACTGCCCCCAAGGACCTGACTCATCAGAACCACAGCCATCCCGGGCAGACCTCTTCCCGAACCGCCGCTCCCAAAACAGACGGATTGGACGGCCTTGAACGCACGGCGAGTGCCATCTGCCTTAGGCTGCACGACATAGAACGCCAACAGACCGGAAGAAACTCGCCCTTAGCCCTATTGCATCTATGCCCCTGAAACTTTGCCACAAGAGATATCAGTTCTGACCTGGGACTCCACCCCCACTTTCCCAAAAATCCTTGGCATACCCTTTTTCGCACTTCCAGGCCCACATCCCACTCCGATCAGGA